ATCCACCTGTAGTCCAACTATGCAGGAGGATCGCTTGAGCCTAGGAGTTCAAGAACAGCCTGGGCAACATTTTTAATTAAAAGATTTAAAAATTTTAATCTTTTTTAAAAAATTGCTTTAGAACTTTTCCCAGTTACCTTTACTTGTAGAAAAAGTCTTCAGTTGAGGAATATATGCAAATACCCTTTTCCAATAATTTTTATTAAAGACAATGTTGATCCAAAGGCGCCTCCCACGTTAAGGCATCGTAAGCTTGTCGTAATATGCAGTTGTAGCAGCAGATAATTCCTGGCTCTAAGAAGATTGAGGTTGCTCACCTCTGAGAGCCATAAAGTGAATGACCTTCTACCTGATCTTTAAAATGAGTATTTAATTTTAGATTTAAAACATCATTTCAATTATAAACAAAATATTTTGATTTTAAAATCATTATTTGATAATACAAGTAAGATTCTCAGATTTTAAAAATCTAATATATTTGTTTCAAAAATACGTGGACTATGATCAGAATTTTAATTTTTTTAAATACACAAGAACAACTTGAAACATGTATAACCCTGTAAGTTACTTTCAGGAAGGATTCTCATTTATTGTAGTTGGAGTTCCTTTCTACAAAAAGTAACTCTGTGCTAAAAATATATTGTAAATCTCTCTGCATATATTTCATCTACCTCACAAAAGATGATTTATTTATATTGAAGAATTATTATTTCATGTAAGATGCCGAAGCCTTAGAAAATCACAAATTAGCGATCATAGTTTATTAGTCATTATAGGTATAAAGAAGCATAAGCTAAGTATAGGTTTATATTAAAGCATTTGAAAATTATTTTGGTCATGACTACAATAATAATACTGAATTGAAAATCCTTTTAACTACATATAGGAAACCTGTTCAAAGAGAAAATCCCTAACCAAAAAGCCTAGTATTAATTCTTAGAGTTCATTTAACGGGGTACTGAAAAACAGTAAGGAATGTTTTGTTTTATTTTGTTTTGTTTTGTTTTTGGTAAAGACATATTTAAAAAGATGGCTCAGACCAAATAGAAAAGTAACTTTTAAGATTAATATACTATGACCCAATAGGGTTTAATTCAGGAAGGCAAGGATCATTCATAATATGTAAATTAATTAATCTCATTTACTCTACCATGTGAAATAGGAAAAGGATGTGATAATACTATACTAACCTCTTAGTAAGCTAGAAATAAAAGGAAGCTTTAGTGGTACAGTATGTCTGTCCAAACAAAATAGCAATTATATACTTTAATTTCATGAAACCTTAGAGTTCTCTGTACGTTAGAAGTCAAAGATTTCTCCATACTACTATTCAGTATTTTCTGTAGATCTAGCTAGTTTGGAAAGACAAGAATAAGAAATGAAGTGCATAAATATAGGAAAAGAAATGAGAAAATTTTCATTTGCAGATTACATTTTAAACAATGCAAGCATTGTGATTTCAATATATTGGTGACAAAAATTATAAATTAAAATAAAAATTTAAAAGAATCAGCTGAAAAATTTAAGATCCAATATCATTTAGTAAGGCTTGAGATATAAAAGAAATAGAAAATCAATTGCCTTCCAATATATCACTAACAACCAGTTAAAAAGAGGAAAATAAATGCTATTAATAATAACCACAAAAATTACATACATCTAAGAAAAGTATTAACAAGTTATGTGCCAGATTTTTTAAATACTGTATTTTACTTTGCTACAAACATTTACTGGAGGACATGGGAGATCAGAACAAATGAGGAAGGCTGGCCACATTTCTGATGGAACACCTCACCGTTATGATTAGGCAGTTCTCTCCAATTACCTTCAGCATAATTCCTGTAACATCCCAGTGAAGCTTTTTCTAGAATTTTTAGAGTAGGTTCTAAAGTTTGGCTAATTATTTATGTAAAAATAGACAAAAAAAAAATCATGACAGCGCATGTACCAAATTTCTGAAATGTGCAATTTAGATTAGCTAGGCCAGTTTTCTTATAAAATAAGAATTTCTAAGCCTAAGAAAATGACTGTTTGCTCTTTCTCTATTTTAAAAAAGGACTAAGATGAGATTATAAGTATTTAAAGAAGAGAGAGGGCTCAGCTGAAAACAAAGGGTTGTTTGTTTGTTTGTTTGTTTAAAAAAAAAAAAAAACCCCGGGCCAGGCATGGTGGCTTAGCTGTAGTCCCAGCACTTTGGGAGGCTGAGGCAGCCAGATCACTTGAGCTCAGGAGTTCAAGACCAGCAAGGGCAACATGGCAAAACCCTGTCTCTACAAAAATAGGAAAATTAACAGGCTCTGGTGGTGTGTGCCTGTAGTCCCAGCTGTTTAGGAGGCTGAGGTAGGAAGATGGCTTGAACCTGGGAAGTGGAGATTGCAGTAAACCAAGATTACACACTGCACTCCAGCCTGGGTGACAGAGCTAGACTCTGTCTCAAAATAACTAAGTAAATAAATAAATAATCTTATATGTCTGTCTACAAACAAAACTTAAAGGATATCCAGTGTTACCTATTTAATGCAGACACCTAATTGCCTCTTGACAGCTGATTTAAAGAAAAAAATTAAATACTTACATCCCGATCAGTTTAGAAAAGCATCATGAATAAACACTAAAACCTAAATCTCATACGAATAATTTGTGAAGTATTTGTCTAGAAACAAGACAAAAACTCCTAAACTCTAAAGAAGAAAACAAAAGCAAAACTGTTATCTGCAGGGCTCATAGCTATTGTCAGTTCTGTATCCTAAAGCAGTTCTTGAAGACACTTAATTAAAAGTTTACAACCTACTGCTTCGAGGAATAAGGCTGAGTGCCAAGCACCTTTTGTGTGAGGACTTCAATGATTTCATTTAGTTGTAATGCCATCAGTGCATCAGTTGGATGTTTTCTTACTGCCAATGCTCTTTGATATGTGCTACTCATTGGGAAGTTCATTTTAGATTCTTACATCTTTCAGCTATATATAAATTATATTTTTACCAACACACTTTAGTCAGTATGTCTATAGCAATGCCAACACAGGCATTACCTCAACAGTGTTTCGGTCAGTAAGCTACTCTCTGATGAAGAATACGATGATCTATTATCTTAGTAGCTGCTTCAGAAATCCAAGTTAGAAAAGCTTTATGCTTTGGGAAGAATGTTAGCATGCTCTCTCCAAGAGTTAGCATCCACCTTTGATGAAGGAAAACTATTGCTGTTGCCCAACTATAATCAGTCTTTTTCTCTAGGAGACTCGGTATTTTTGGCAAATTCTTAACATTGAAGGGGAAAAAAAATTTTCATTTCCTGAGAACATTATTCTTCTGTCTATGTAGGCAATAAAATATTACTTAGCAATGTATTCATGTAATTAGATTGTAGAGAGCTTGTAATTGAAGACCCATTTTTAAATTTAAGTGATTGTATCAATTTCAAATTCACAATGTATATGTGAAAATCACTTTAGTGCATTCATTGAGCAAATATTTATGGAATACTTATTCTGCATTAGTATCAGTATCTAGGTGAGCACTGCAGTCTCAAAAACTAAGAAAAAGATGCAGGGAAATCCAAAACCCACTGCGTGTGTGTGTGTGTGTGTGTGTGTGTGTGTGTGTGTGTGTGTGTATTTAAATAAGCCATTCTGTACTTGGCAAGTTTGGGGTACTTTTACTTGTAGAGTTTGGGATTTGAGTGGCTTCTGTTGGTGCTGAGGGTAGCACTGAATCAGACAATTCAACTGGCCCCAACCTAACTTACAAAGACCTGTCTCTGGTCATCGAACAGAGGCAAATTAATCCACTCTCTTTATTAAGTTGAAGAAAGCGAATATATATATATAACTAACATATATATATTCCCGTTATATATTTATATAATTAATTTATAAATTTTATATATTTATATAAAATTTAGTGACAGAATTATTTAATTTTTTTAATTAATACGTATGTTATTAATACATAGGTTTACATGACCATATGTATTTGTATATGTATATGTAATTGTATACAAAGTATGTATATTTATGTTATGTATACAAAAGTATATAACCATTAATCTTATAATAGTATGTTCTATGTTATGTATACATAACATATATGTTCTATATTAGTTAACAGTAATCTTAAGAACCAATAATATGAAAGAACTTTCCTTGACAGTTTTCACATTCCCTCCATCCTGGACTTTGTTTCTCTTCTGTTCAGATTTATTACACAAATTTACCTCTGATCTCTACATTCTTCCAGTAAACTGGAGACACAAGACCTTTAAGGAAATGTGAGGGAAGTAGGCAAAATGAAACCAGACAAAAGTCTACGCTTTGCAGTGAGAATTTCATAGTGGAGCCAGGAGAGCCGTGTGTTCCTATTGTCAACCTGCCTATCCTGCCCCAACCCTGTTTCCTGGGCGAGCCCAGTTAGAACCTCCCTTTCTGGGTTTCCCTCAAAGCTGACCTGGTCGCAAGGCCGAAAAGACAGAAGCACCCCCCACCCTCCGACCCCTTGCATCTGTGTGGGGGGAAATGAGTCTCCCTAAGCCCACCCTTTGCGTGGCCTGGCTGTAGGCACCCAAGTTTTGGTGCATGTTCTCCATTGAGTCCTTGGGTGAACATGAGGGGAGATACTCTTGAATCCAGATGAGTCCTGAGGATTAATTAGCCTCTAACAGAGCTCAGGGTCCTGCTTTTATGAACCCACTTCCCCCAACAAGTCAGTCAACTCTTGCCTCAGAGACACAGCATTCTATTCCCACTACCTTCCTTGAAGTTTTGCCCCAACTTTGAGTAGTTTGGGGCTATTAATCTGTCAGAACAGAGTGGCCAGGATTTTCACCAGAGGGGGAGGCTACCAGCCCTGTTCCTACAGATATGAAGCAGGCAGGATGCCAACTGCTTCCTAGAGCTGCCTCCTCTCCATTCTTTTTTCCTTTTTCCAGAAAAAGTTATTGTGTCTTCTCAGTAACTTATCAATAAACCATTGTTATTTCTCCTTTTAAAAAGAATCTAATAAATAGTATTATTAAATTAGAAAATCTGATTGTAACCTTAAATATCTCTAAAATTAGAGAGGTACTAGTCTTGTTTTACTTTGTGATGTTCAAACCTTCCTTTAAAGTACTGGGGTCTTCTGCCTTGGATTTAGACTTTCCTGATAACCCACCCTTGGGATCCTTAGAACAGATAGCCAGAGTACCATGCCCTCACTATGCAGAGCCTATGCCCTTAATCAGCGGGAAGCAGATACAGAAGAATGACTTCCTCCCACATCAAGCCTTAAGGATAAGGGATGGAAATCTTTAAGCTGGGGGAATGAGACAGGAATAATACAGGATGATCACAGATTAGGAAAATTCCAGGCAGCAGTTTCAAATGACTAGCAAAAAGAAACTGTTAAAATAGCTGCAGAGCCAGCGGGCTGATAAGACCCTGAAAAACCGGGTGTGTACCAAGCTGGCTAAGACCAAATGAACCAAATAGTTGGTTTGGTTCTGGATTTGCGCTAGGTTTCACCTGGGACCTCATTATATGGTGCTGGATTTGCCCTAGGTTTCACCTAGGACCTCATTATACACCCGTTAACATACAAATCACACACCCACCACTGCCATGGCACTTCCGGGCACACCCATATTTGGTGTAAAAATGAGTGACACCACAGTTCTGAGAAACCTTTACCTTTTTCCAGGAATCTTCATGAATATTCCACCCCTTGGTTAAAGACACCATGAAGATAGGAACCCCAGCCCCCTTGCATGATTCTCTCTTGAGTACACCCCACTCCCCTTTCTTGAGTGTGTACTTTTGCTTTGCAACAAGAACAAGTCTGTACTTTTACTTTAAAAAAAAAGAATATGGGGCTCTATAAACATAAAGAAGGATATAGACAAACTGGCAGTCATTCAGAAGGGAAAAGCCAGACAGAAAGGAAGCTTGAAACCATTCCATAAGAAAAATAGAGAGTTAAAATATTGACCAGGAAAAGAGAGGCCTCTGGGGATATAAGAGAGTTATTTTTCAGTGTTTGAGGATTTATCTTGTGGGAGAGATATTAAAATCGATCTATCTGTACTCCTAGTGATGGAATTTACAGGAAATGAAATATTTCTACTTAACACAGGAAGATACTTCTTAGTTAATTCAAAGATGGACTGGGCAACACAGGGAAGTGGTTCTCAGTAGTTCCCATCTTTAAGACCAGTGACCCCATACATAACTGGGCAAGGCCAGCTGAGTCGTTTTTCACACCCTCTCTGCATTTCTTCTTCACCCTTGAGATCCATCTCCATCTCTCCATCTCCCCTTCAACATCTTTTCCCTGGAAGACTACAGTCACCTCCTGATTGGTCTCCTTGCATCCATTCTGGCCCCTCCAATCTGTCTGCCATCCTGCAAAAGAAGTGTGAGCTTTACGCAATGCAAATCTGATATTTTAACACAGCCAGCTGCATGTTTCTTTAATATCTTCCTCTTTGCTTTGAAAAATAGGACCCAAATTTGGGAGGCGGAGGTGGGCCAATCACTTGAGGTCAGGAGTTCAAGACCAGCCTACCCAATATATAGAAATGCTGTCTCCACTAAAAATGCAAAAATTAGTTTGGTGTGGTGGTACTCTCCTGTAATCCAAGCTATTTGGGAGACTGAGACAGGAGAATCTCTTGAACCTGAGAGGCAGAGGTTGCAGTGAGCCGAGATGGCGCCACTGCATTCCAGCCGGGTGACAGAGTAAGACTCCATCTCAAAAAAAAAAGAAAAAAAAAATAGGACCCAAAGCGTAATAAGTGCTCGGGTCCATGGTCTTCCAACCTCATCTTGCTCCACTTAACTTTCATTGCTGCAGTCACACTGACCTCCTTTCAGTCCCTGGGAAATATCTTGCTTTTTCTTACAACAGGACTATGCACACAAAATTCCTTCTACCTGGAATCTGTACTTGCTGCCCTATTCCCCTGGCCAATTCACTGATACTTGTAGTTCGAAGCTCCACTCCCCACCCTCCAATCCAGCATGATTAAGATTCCTGTAACACCCTCTCAAACAACCATGGTGGTTTGCTTATTAACACCCCCTCACATGATAACATTCTTTTCTGTAATTACTTCCTGTCTCCCATATTATATGATTGGCCGCATGAAGGCATATGTTGAAGCCTAGTGGGTGCCCACATTTATTTACTGAATGGGTGAATTCATAAGGCTTTGCAGGGTTTTGTGAGAACCTGATTACTTGGATGGGACAGCAAAAAAGCATACAAGTGGCTACAGCGAAGGTTTGTCAGGTCCCTAGCAATCTTGAGAGTTTGTCCATTTTGTGCATTCGATTCCGGCTTTTTTCATCGTTATTCTTTTTTTTTCTTATTCAGGGCCTACAAAACTACCTATTAATGATACTTGCATTTTGCATCATCTTGACTGGAGCCTTATGCACTGCTTTTTCTAAAATCTAACAAGAAGAAGACCAGCAGATGGCAGCAGTGGTTAAGAGAAAACGTCTGTCGGACAAGAGGGATTATTATGCTGAGAACAGAGTGCATTTTCACAAAGCAAATGGATCTCAGCCACTGTTAGAGTGGGTAAATGACTTTTTCCCCAAAAATGTGAGAATGAAGGAAAACTGAGTTTCATTCAAGTATAAAATGAAAATTTCTTCTGATGAAGTGTTTATGAAGGTAGGACTTTACTTGGTGACTAAAATGTCTACATTATTATAGCATTACATATGTGGATACTCTTTTTACCACAATATGTACCTAGTGTTGCATAATCTAGCTCACAGCATGAAGTCCATATACAAAGAAGTTACAGTGCAGATTTCTCACCTATTATCCCAATGAAGTGAGGCAGAAATACCTTGGGGAAGGAGGGAGAGTCTTACCTTATAATGAAATTAGATTCCAAAGATATTTGGATCCTTTGTTTCATAAAGTAAATGTCGTAGTTGGTAACTAAAGTGTTAAAAAGCCCATTTTATTATTTTTGGCCAAAACTTATGTTTATTTCAAGTTAATATTGCCCAACTCTACATCATCTACCCATTTTAGCTCATGATGCTTTTGATTACCTCCAGATAAAATCCATTCTCAGAGAACAAAAATTTTTCACCATTGAGAATATGTGCGTAACATAATACACACATACACAAGTACATGCACATACATAAATACACAAAGATATTGCTAGAGTGAGATTCTAGGTTATCAGTGACAATTTATAGGAACCAACCACTCTTTTGAATGGTTGAATTAATTAATTCAAAACCACTCTTTGGAATTAATTTTTTTCTGAAATACACTTTTCTAAAACCCTCTTAACTGGAGGTTTTCCTGTTGTCTTCTTGTTTTAACTGGTGGTTTCCAGTAGGCAAGATAAAATTACAGGCATGCTGGTTGTATTTTTTTAAGAAAACTGAAATTAAGTCAGACAGAGTGGTACACACCCGTAATCCCAGCTACTGGGGAAGCTGAAGCAGGAGGATCACTTAGCCCAAGAGTGTGAATTCGCCAGCCTGGGGACATAGCAAGGTCCCATCTCTAAAAAAGAAATTTAATTTAAATTTATAAGAAAAAAGAAAACTGAAACAGAACTGCTAGTACAAATGTTTATTGCAATTGTTTCCAAAACCTGGAAATAATATAACCCCTATTCCAATGTACATTTTACCCATTTCCACCTGATAGTACTGTATATTACTTTGCTATGCAAGAGAAACAAAGCAGAATTCAATTTGTGTGTGTACTCTGAAGTTGACATGCCTGAGTTTAAATCCCATCTCTGTTTCATTTTATTTGTGTGGCTTTGGGCAAGTTCCAAAGGCCCCTATATTAGACCCCTCATTTACAAAATGGAGTTTACGATGGCACCTACCTCACATGGTTATTATGTGATTGAAATTAGTTAAAATCTGTAAAGCGTGTTGATGAGTATCTGGTACTTGACAATATGTAATTGTTATCTTTTATTATGTGTTGTTTGAAGGGGGAAAAAAAAACTTTTGTAGATTGGAGAACACTATGTAAGAGCTACTGAGCTCACCACCTTCCAATCCAAACAATTATTACTCTCAAATGAATACTACTTAAAAGTGATACAGCTTCTGTTTGTTTATTGAATTGCTAATATTGCAAATATTCTGTTTATTGAATTGCTAATAATTGTGAATAAATACTTGATTATAACTTCTTATACTCATTTTAATTTTAACCTGAAATGTCATTAAATTATGCTGATAACTTTGAATAAATTGTGATACAAAAGCTATTTTTCTCATTTAAATATATTGTAGAATTTTATATTGGATAACGTTTAATTATTCTTTGGTTAAGATTTCCAGTTTATATGCAAAATTTTACATGTGAAGTAAAGCAATTGCATAAGAAAAATGAAAAATCAATCTCACTACTTCTGTATAGTTTCTGGTACCAGACAAGCTTTTTCAAAATTGTTACCAAAAAAAGCAACTTATTAGTTAGAGGCTAGTCTAAATGGACTATTGCCAAAAATGCATTTTGTTTGTACCTTGGGAAGTGAATGCCTAACTCTCTTGGGGTTTTTAGGTTTTATTTTTTCTAACCTAGTTTGGCTAAATTCTAATGTTTATTTTACACTTTTTTTTTTTTCTGGTGTCACTTTCTGTCAAATGGCAACCCCGTCTGTGCTAAAGAGATCCGGCCATCTTGTGCACAGAGATGAGAGCTGGCACTACATCCAGTAGAAGTAGCAGCCAGTCAGGCTGGTGTCCGATTATGGGAATTTTCTACCCTAGGAACAGAAAATTCTAATAAATTTTAAAGGATTTAGTACAGCATCTCCCCAAGCTACCAAACCTCTTTTTATTCCTGTTATTTGTTTATATTCAGAATTACTAAATGCTAGACTTATATGTCTCAACATTGATTACAAGAAGAATCTTCTGAAATGTTGGGCAACTGCATCTGCAGACCTCAGTGTGTAGTAAATCTCAAGCAATTCAACTTTTTCTAATAATGTCATGACTTTTCTCTTCTTGGGAGCACTTCCGGCATCACTAGTGGAGCTCCACATGGGTCCCATGGTGCTATCCAAGATGTACAAGGTTTAATTTTATTGCAATAAAAATGATGAAAAATATACAAGAACTGCAAGAGACACCAGAGGCAACTGACTGGGGAGACGGTCAGCTCACCTGAAGATGATTAGCACCACATGGTGTTTTAAGTGGATAGTGGCAACACTAGAGCTCACCACAATAGCAACAGGAGATTTTAAATAGATTTATGTATATTTTATGGTAGTAAATGATAAAATAGACTAATCCATCTATATATAGACTAATATATAGAGAGACGAATATATAGAGAGACTAATAGATATAGAAAGAAATTTATATAGACTAATATATACAGACTAATATATACATATATAGACTAATATATATATATAGACTTATTTTATATATATAATGTATCTATATAATGTATTCATCACATACACAAAGAAAAGGGTTTACCTTACTTGGCAAAAGGGACTTGCATATGTCAATAAGGACCTTGAGATGTGAAGAGCACCCTGATTATCCAGGTGGTCACGGTGTCATCTCAAGGGTCCTTGAAAGTGGAAGAGAAGAGTCAGAGTGAAGAAGGAGGTACGATGATGGAAACGGAAGTCAGAATGATGTAATATGAGAAGGACTAAATCCAGGAATTGCTGAATTTTGAGATGGGGGAAGGGACCACAGGCCAAGAAATGTGGGCAGTTTTTAGAGGCTCGAAAAGACAAGGAAATAGATTCACCCCTACAGCCTCCAGAGGGCACAGCCTTGCCAGTCCCCTGGTATTAGCCCATGTCAGACTCCTAATCCACGGCACTGTAAAGA